CACAACAAACTCAGCACAATTTCTTTTAATGCTCACATTCATCTTAGTTTCAAGCCTTTTAGTTTAATTTAGTTTTAGCTTTATGCTTCACCCTAAATTAGTCTTTAACTCTAGTTTAATGTCTTTTCTTTTAGAAATCTCATAAATTAGTTGTAGTTCTTTGAGGAAGCAATTCAACACTTCTTTTGCTGGTTTTGTAATGGAGAGATTTGCTGCCTTTAGTGATATTTTTTTGTTATTGAATTGCTTCCTTTCCTATTTTGTTTTCCTAGTTTCTTTTAATTTAATCAAGTGATGTCGATATTTAATTTCATGTTATATTCAACTTTTGTTAATTTATATTTCATACTGTTTCCAATTTTATTTACTTTTCTGTATTTAGATTTCCTTTTAGAGCTCTATTTCAACTCAATCTACATATTTAAAATTCATTTGAATTTGTAGTAGTTTGGTAATCATTTACTTTTTTTGCAGTCTTAGTTTTTCCCCGATTACATTAGTTTGGAAGAGTTCTTGGAGTTATATTTAAGGCATTTTGTCATTTAACCTATTTAATGCAAGAAGTTCATTTCTCGTTTCTGTCAATTGTTTGATCATTAAGGCACAGTTTACAATGTTCCTCTATTAACTTATGACTGAGTTCTACACTTGGAAGTAAGAAAGGGTTGTCAAAAAAATCTTTCTTGTTTTGAGCAAAAAAGTGATATTATTTCACTTATCACGTGTTAAAAAGATTTTTTGAAATAACAGAAGGAAATAGGCCCTCAATAATGAGGGTATTTTCTACCATCAAATATAGTACTTTCTTTTTTCTTTGTACTCTCAATTATCTAGAATGTAATTATTTCTCTATGCTAATAAATTACAACATAAAAGATAATTAGACAAATAAAATATTTTTCTACGCAAGGCTTTAGGCCTCCATAGTCCATACTCCCCGCATATCATTGTCAAGGCATTGACAGACCCCATTTAGTGATTCTTCAAAGGAATGGAATATACTTTACAAATAGTAAATACAAGATACCCTGAAATCAGCACATATGTTAGCCTCTCACTGTCGATATAGTGAAGTTGGCAGCTCCAGTCAGGAGCTAACAATTCTTTGCAGTTGCGGTACAATGTGATGTGAGCCTGAGCATTTGGTGAGGTCAAGCTCCCTTTAACCTTATAAAGTGCCAAAATAGTATGAGTAATGATACCCCGGACGAATTTACGAGATGATTTTAGGGGAGGACAAGTGAAACGGGGGTAAATTAGTAATTGCTATTGGGACTGTTTCACTTGTTGTCCCGCAAATTTGTCCCGCGTATCATTACTCAAATAGTATTGATCTCAACAATAACTTTCTCGAACCCACTATCTCATGCTAGTTGTAAAGCTTTCCAAATCACAAACAGTTCAAACACTAATGGCTGAACCAACTCTCAGTTGCTGCGTGAATCTAAAACACCATTGCCTAGGATGATTACAACGAAGTCCTCCAGCCAAATTTTGCTTAATCTTATGAAGGAGTCCTGATACTGAAATATAGAGGAATTAATCAACAAATTGTAGGCTGGCAGTATTGCAAACTTGTTTTTTTCTATTAATTGTTTGTTTACTAAATTCCTTTTCAAATAAATTAGATCTTACTCAGGTCAACAAATAAAATTAAAGTTATAGTTAAAACTACGAGTTAAAAACCATAACCAATTTGTAGCAATTAAGGAATTAAATGAAATCTGAAACAAACAATTGTTTATCTTAGCACTTCCCTAGGTATCCTTCTAGACAATATTCGAAAAAATGGAGCAGTAGGGGTAGAAATTAAAAAAAAAAAAAAAGAGGAAATTTGTCATCTTTAATATCTACTATCTGCTAGTCATTCAATGCAATAAAAAGATCTTATCTTGATTTGTAGGATCAAGTATAATTCCAAAGGGTCAAGGCTAGGGCAAGCCCCAAGCAACCTTTTATCTGGAAAATATTTTGCTCTCAAGATTTGTATCCAAAATGGCTCAGATGGGTAAGAAGTTTCCATGCAAGTTGGCCAAGGGTGCCTGATTCATGTATGGGTTGCTCTTAGGCCCAGACCGCGCACGCATATTCACATTCCCAATTGACAAGATGCACCTGCCTTGCATCAAATAAAATTTTTTGATAGAATAAATTATTAATTATTGATCAAATTTTGTTCAAGAAAAATAGAAAAAAGATGAAAAATTCAGTCAATCAAATGTTTGATTCCCTACTAAATTAAACAGAAAAGTAAAAATCAAAACGTTCTATTATTAAAATTGTTAAGATGTCTAATTTCAACTCCATAATAAATAAATTTTAAGTAAAATTTATATTACATCTCATTTATCTTGTGATTATAATTAAATATCTTAATATATTTTTAGTATCACAATGTTCCTATTTTTTTACAACTTCTAAATTAAAAATTGGTACACAAAAATCCCTCTAAGATACCCAATTCCATGTCTCCTAAAGTCCAAATTAAGTGGGCTTTTCTAAAACCATCCAATTTCTTGTCTTCTAAAGCCGAAATAAGTGGGCTGAAAATACCCAAGTTTTATTCCAACAAATATACTCAAGCATCACAATTTGACTCCATGTGTTTTCCAAAACCAAGGAAACAAATAAAAAAAACACAAAAAGAAAAATAACTTTTGTTAATGATATCTCATATCTTTGACCCAATGGCAAAGATTGAGGCTTTATACCCTCAAGTTTCGTTAAATAATATCACTAATCACATAAATTGAATATTTACTTAGCTTAATAAAAGAAAAACTATCAAAAAGAGTGCAGCTAGACAACAGAAAAAAAAAATTTTTCTATTTTATTACATTTTTCTAGAGATTTCATGCCTCAAAATACAAACAAAAAAGGAATCACGCCATGCATTGTGTGCGGCCTAATTAATAATATTAGTCTGCATGTAAGGAGGGTAAAATTTTTTTTTTTTTTTTTTATAATTGAAAGATGAAAAAATATATAAAAAATAATTTAGAAATTAAAATTATTTAGAATTTAAGGTTTAAGGTTGAATTTGGCATTTAACCAATAAAAAAAAGATATCACTCAAGAATAAAAAGTATAGTTTATTGGTGTTTTATATAAAAACCGCATAATCCCACATAGCTCAAAAACAAAAAGTAAAGCTTACTAATACTTTATGTATAGAGGGAGGCTTAAAATGTGTTAAAAGCATCTTAAATAGTTTTATTATTGAGTTTTAAACACTTTTGTTATAAATATTTGAATAAAATAATATAAATTAAACTAAATTGAAAAATTTTGAAATTTTACTTTAAAAATTGACTTTTTTTAATTTGAGATAAAATCATTAATAATTAAAGAATAAATGAAAAAGGGAATAATTGAAAAAGATATATATAGGAATGATTAAAGAAAAATGAGTACATAAACCTATGATTTTGGAATCCTACAAAAGAAGTAAAAATCAGGCTATTACCACCTACAATAATATTAAGATTACACAATATTGATTCTAAAAATGTTAATTTTGTTTAATTTAAACTCCATTTAATATAGTTATAATTTTAAGTTTTTTTGTTTTGATTTTTATAAATTTTGTAGTTAATGAAAACTAAAACTAAAAATAAAAAATAAAAAATTTGTTTAACACAAATTTTAACAATGATAACTTAAAATATTTTCTTTTTTAATAGTATTAAAATTATTTTTATTCTTATTTCTCTAATAATCATAATAATATATTATAAAAACATATGAAAATAAACAAGTTTTTTGTTTAGAGTTGAAGAATTTATAAAAACCAAAAACTTAAAATTACAATTATACTAAATAGAGTCTTAATTATTAAAATAACTGATATTAATAAAATAATTAAATTTATTAGTTAATAGATCAAAATCAGCTTATATGTTAATATTTTCAAATATCATAATTGATTGTTTAAGAAAAATTATAAACAGATAAAATATTAGTCAAGATAAATAAAATCTATATAGCCTTAAGTTATTGTGAGTGACCATAACAACTTCCTTAAGTAGTCCCTCCTTTTAGCTTTAGTAGGTCTCGAATTTTTTGTTTAATAAAATAAAGATATAATAATTAATTAATAAAATTTCATATTTATTTTCAATTAATTATGACTTAAATATTTCTTCCATTCATTTTTAGTAGTCATAATTTAATTTTTTGACTCTTTAAACATAAACTTTAAATGAAAATTTAATTTTTTTTCATATATGTAATTCTTGTTGAGTATTTTTATTTAATAAAAAAATTAATTATCATTTATATAACATATTAAATTTTCATTTAAAATACATATTAAAAAAAAGTCAAAATTTCAAATTAAGACTACTAAAAATGAACATAAAAAGTAAGTTTTTTTTAAACTTAAATTTATGTCATAAGTAATTTTTGAAAATAAAAATAAACACATGACATTTAAAAAAAATAAATAATTAAATTTAAGCGTTTTAAAATAAAATTTGAGTTTATTAAAATTAAATAGAGAGAGCATAAATTTAAGTTACCTCAAGAACATTTGCCATAATAGCGTACGAACACACTGGTCATGTTACGTGGACTTAAGTTGGTCATGGGATTGGACTCGAGTGATACCTTATCTAGTTGGTCTGCTGGATTTTTTTTTCTGGTGAAATGGTCTGCTGGATTTTTGCAGGATTGAATAGAGTCAATAGACTATACAATTTTTTCCTCAAAATGAGAAATTCATATCTTGTTATTCCTGTGTGAAGAATTTTTTTTCCTCTATAGGGCCGGTTTAGCAACGTTCTGTTGTTGTGGTATTTTTCACTGAAAGGAGTGGTACCCTACAGGGGAATTCTCTTTTTTCACTTCCTTTTTACTGTTGTGGTTTCAGTTATGTACTCCAGGAAGCAACCCAGTTGAATTATTCCATGATCTGATTCAATTTGAATCTTGGAACGTGACTTATAGAGCCTAATTGGGTGGGTTTTCATTTTAGGTCTAAAACTAAATTTACAGGCATAGTCTTCACATTAATGCCTGCAGGGCTGCATCAGATAATTTGATAATAACCATTTTTCTCAAAAGTACAAATATTCATAAAAAATTTAATATGATGGAAACTATAGGATTATAAGTAGCACTGAAGATTAGAATACAAAAATTCCTTCTGTTTCCAATTGAAACATCATTGACTTAAATGTCCTAACTTTCACCATAGGCTTCTGCCATGATCAATAGCAGAAGTGATGTCCATCCAGTAAACAGTCGAGCTCCTTTTCCCTTTCCCTGCTTCTGATCATACTGTTCCCACAAATACCCAGTCTGGTAGTAGTTCTGAACCACGTTTCTGCAGCGTGGCAAGGATATATGTCACAATCTAAGACCAAATCAAGTATATAAGTAGATATTATGGCAATGTGATCTGTACCTAATCAAATTGCTCCTCAAGTCATCGTATATGGCTTTGGCCCTTTCTCTGTACGGTCCATTCTCTATAAATTTTGATCCAGTGGGTTAAAATGCAATTAAAGGCAATTGGTTCTGAAGGAGAAGTAAAACGAAGATCATGTCTTCTTCTTACCCAATGAGTAATGGTGGAGTGCAGAAAGAATCATGTAGTTCATATTCATCCAAATTGGACCTCTCCAGTAAGGTGGATCATGCTCAGTGTTCCTTTTCATGTACAATGAACTGTAGCATGAGGTTTTCAGATTGTTATGGAAGCCAAAAAAATCAACAAGATCAAATAGAAGATCATAGTAAAAGTAAATCAACAAATCAGATTGATTCCATCACCTTGTTTTGGAGAGAGAACGTAATCCAAAATCAGTCCATAAGATGCTCTTGTTTGAGATGAGGTCAAGCTGCTTTCCCAGAATCCAGGATTCCTGAGCGAATAAAACAAGTGAAATGATGCCCAATTCAAAGCAGAAAACGAAAAAAAGTAAAGGTAATGTGGGCAAACTTAATAGAACTGATTAAGCATTATTTTCATCATTAGATCCTCTAACAAACTTACTGGTGGAATAATTCTTGCCATGAGGGGAAAAAGGCTGACGTATCCAATATGAGGAACCAGTTTCAACTCTGGTCTCTCTAAAACTTCCCGGATGAGCTCTCTCCTTGGATGATTGTTTCCTACCTTTACTTCTGCCCAACTTAATCGAACCTATAAAGATTAAGAAGGTCAATATCAGCAAGTTTCATGAAAGTTGTCCAGAAAATCTCTGCCCAATATAAATAAGTAATCTCTTGAGGCAAGCTTGGAGTTCCATGTTAATAAGTCCATCTATACTTGTCACTAATGAATGGGAGGGACGCTTTGGGGTTACCCAGTAGCTTATTCCCATTAATGATCTGAACAAGAAGTAGAATAAACCACAGCACAGAGAGGGGGAAGCACAATGTGCATGTTAAATTATTGATAAAAATGCATCAAAGAATGTTATCTAATGCATATACTCATCATTGATATAGTATGACAGATGAATTGAAAGACTTGTAAGTTGTAACATGTGCAGACATGTAATTCTGATGAATAAAAACATACCTTTTCTGTATGGTTGCCAAAATCAAAATAAGCTCCACGAACATAATCAAAGTGCATCTGGTAAGAATTAAGCACAAACAACAAATGAGTATGAAAAAAGTTGGATAGCAAGAATGATAAGTCTGACCGTCTGATGCATGTGACATGCTAGTTTTCTAAAAGCTTCCCTTCAGCGAAGGGAAAAACAGGAAAAAAGTAATACTTGATAGAATGATAATACAATCACTCAGCTAGAGCATATGTGCTGTTAAAAAAGCATTAATATGCAATTACATGACAAAAAGCTTCAACAGCACAACAATAATAGACAAAACCTGATTCAAAGTTGCAAAGTCTGAAAGCAACTTAGCCATTGAACCATATTCCTGCATCAATTTATTTCCAGGGGTATTAGCCAATAGGTAAGGTCTAACAAATCTGACAATGTGTTTTTCTCTTCATTATTATACCTCCACTCCTGTCTGTTTCATCTCAAACAACTTAGATATGGAATCCATACAATCTGCTGCAAGAAGCATCCAGCATCTAAGATCCAAATGACGTTCATCTTCAGTAGGGTGCGATGCACGGGGATAATCATCAAACCCAGAGGACAGTGCCTGAAGGCAGCAGCAATACATTACAGTTTACCACTTCAGTAAAAGAAATTTTTTTTAATCATATTATATAAACTTTACGCTATTTAGTTGAAGCTGTAGAAAATAAGATCCTTTTCCATATATTAATGAGATGTAAATATTGGTTTACACGACCTCCAAATGCAATGTCCTCAGCCAATAGCAAGGCTGGGTTATGTCCAGCTGTTGCCTGTTTTTTCAATACTATCTATGATCATTCATGCATAAAGAAAAGAGTCAAAAAAGACTTTCCTGAGTTCATTTTACCTTAACACTCTCTAAACATGTTATTGACTGCTTTCCTAAATTTTGTACTCTCTATGAGATGCAACTTTCTCACTCCTAATTTCTTCAACTCTAGTGCAGCATACAAACTATTAATGGCCATCAAAATCAGAAAATCCTTTAAGACTTTCCATAAGAGCTAATCACACCACCACGTTTCTGATCAACTGAGTCACTGACAATTGCACTTCCTCATAAAAGGAAAAGAATTTTCTATCAATTGGCCAAATATCAATGAGTTTTAATTTCAAAAGCCCCAAATTAGAAATTGAAGCCTACCTAGCAATGGATGCTAAAATCAGATTTTCCAATGAAACAAAGATAATATATCCACAGTATATAGTTTATTGAGGTTTTACTTTTATTTTTAAAGAATTTGAATACTGCCACAAAAAGCAAAACCAAACCTTCCAAGTCGAATCCAAGGTAACGACCATCAGGCAACGGCTTATGCAAGTTAATTTAGGTAAAAAAACCCATGGATTTTGTTTAGCCTCAGGGATGAAACGGGGGTTAGAGTATCAGACTCCTACCAAACACAAAAGACTGAACTACAGAATAAATCCCAACAAACCACAATTTAGTGTTTCTAAGACGATAAAAAATAGAGATTTTGCAGCCAACATCTAATAAAATTTAAGCACACTGTATGAATGCAATCTGTCTTGACTAAACCATAGTGGTTTAACCCCCAAACTTATAACAAGTATTTACGATAACTCCCAGAATTAAAATCAAGCACCATTACTCCCAGAATTAAAATCAAGCATTCTTTAAAAGTGTCAAAAAAGAAAGAAAAGATCTATGTACTCAGGTGGTTCACTGTATAAGAAATGGTATGACAATAACCTTTGGGTTTAATTCACGAATTGTTTTGTTGTCTCTTCCATGCCAGTAATAGCTGCCAACCTCTTTTCCTGTAATCGGGAGCATGATAGCAGCAATATGAAAAAAGAAGTTAAAAGCAGTTAAATAGCTGAAAATAGTCAAAATACGTTATCTACTACAAGCAACTTATTGTTTTGGAGGAAAAAAATAAAAAGAAGCACCAATTATAACTAGAAATAGTTGTGGTATTTATCTAAAACAAGAATTTATTACAAAGGACAAATTTAAGGAACCTGCAGTTGACGCTAAAAGTTTACTCATGAACAACTCTACATAGCCTGAACCCTGAAGTGCAAATGCTTTGCTTATTTTACAAATTCTTTGTTAAGACCATTCTGCCAACAATTATTAGTTCACAATCATTAAAAAAAATCAGATAATTTGGAATTCTTTATACCTATGTAGCTTTTGACAATATTTTAGCAATACTTAAAACCTCAATAAGATTCACCTGAAGTGAACGCACATTAGCTTTGTTAAATTTACCAACGAAAAATGTCATACAATGGAGCAAAAAAGATTCTGTCAGTGTTAAGGACAGTAATCCATTTAATTTTTCAGTTAACTCATTCTTTGCCAGGAACCACAGCTCCACACACCCTGACCACAACAGTCTTTCCAACAACTCTGCCCAAAATTAGAATATGATACACATGGAATATACCTGACTGGGTAGTATTGAACCACTGGAACCATGCTTCAAGGCGAACAAATGCCCTTTCTAGGAAGGAAGTGATTTCATTGCTTTCACTGACTGTGAACTTGTTTTTCCTCATGCCATGGACTAGATCTGAAGAGGTATGGTTTGAGTATCAAGAAGAAAGTATGTCAGAGATGGAGGACCCAATGAATTTTTATGCATGAGATCATTCTGCCGAAAAGTATCACCAGTTAAACACCCTACCACGTAAAACCAGGAATAGAGTTGGTGGGTTTCCATTACTTGGATGCTGTAGAACAAATTCCTCAGGCACCTTACTGCAGTCAAATCAGGAATAAACTTAGAATCACATCATCTGAAAAAACTTGATCCCTTAACTCTGCAAGTTACCTTAATGCTTCAGCACCTAAAATTTGCTCTCGTGGAATCCATCCATTAATATTCATTAGATCCAACCAGTGTCCAATAATATCCAAAGATATATGTATATCCCAGCGCCTGCTTAAGATTAGGATTATCACATGAGGAGAAATACTCCCAAAATGGAATAGCCAGCTAATGTAAACAATCTATCCTTCCACAATAACAGTGTTTGGCCTTCATAATAACTTTAATATAAAAACCCTAACATCTCAATAAGAAAAATGGAACAAGAAAATTCATCCTACAATGATGAGCAACTGACCAGATTAATAGTTGATGAAAACCTTCATCCCATAAAAATCCCCTTGGAAAGAAGGGTCGACTCGGGACAGCTGTGTATAGCTCAGCAGGCCAATATAGAAGAAAATTATCATGATTTTTAGCCTGAAAGAGAAAACAGCCCACTGTATGACTTCATCAGAGGCATAAACTAATGAGAACTAATCATACATAAAAAGGCTTAGCAAATTTTTCAATAAAAATTTAAAAAACAAACCAGAGAAAGTAGGGTGAAGAAAAAACATGGTATAGAGTTAGAAAGTAACATGCAGCTGGATCATAATCACATAATGTGTGCTTGGGTCATGGAATATGCCATAAACGCACAGAATGATAGAAATAATACAAGTAATATGCTCCCAAGCAAGATCTCAATTATGTAAGAAAATTAAAACATAAGAAACTGCATGTAACTCACATTAGAATTTGTGGGGACTGAAATTTTTGATTGCCCATAAAAGTAGCCAATGCCACCCAGCATGTTTGCAATAGCAGCTTTACCAACAATGATGGATTCAGAATCAAGCTGAAGATAAAGTTCCATCATTCAGAATGTTGCCAGCCACATTAAGATTAAAGCCATTTCAGTCAAAAAGTAAAAGGAGTAAGAGATTTACCAAAAACAGAGACAGAGAGAGAAGAGTAAGAGAAATAAGGGAAAAAAAAATTGGCTCTCAATGGCCACTAACATGATCAACAAATGCCTGGTGGAGGGTATATCTCAATGAGCGTCTTTTAGCTTAATGCATCATTATGCACATCCTAACAAAACAAAGGACAAGGTGGTTTCAAATACAGAGCTTCAATATTAGGAAAAATCTCTCCAGGAATCTCTCGAGTCTTTTCCATGTAAGCTGTTGAGATTAACATATTAGACTTATTGATACAGCTTCCAGGAAGCATGCAGCAAAGGTGGTTTATAGGGGTCTCACATGTGACATCATGAACACTCAAAATTCAACAACATATCCAAAAAAAAGGTACAGAAATATCAATTACTTAATGCCAAAGACCTATCAATAGTTCAATATTTCCAAAATATAATTCTATACAACAATAATTAAACAGTATCAAAAATCAAACTAAAAAAATTATATTTGTTATACTAAATCACCTAAGAGATAATTTTGTAGCAAGAGGTTTAAAGAAAGTTATGAGGGTACAGTTCAGCACAAAAGCACTAGAATATGAAGAACTGGAGATGATACGATTCAGATGTCTTTCCAAATATCAATACCTTGTCAGCTAGCTTGAAGCAACTTTCAAATTTTGCATCAAATTCTCCTTGCTTCTCTTTTAGTTGATTGGTCAACATGACACCTATTTTTTATAAAGCAAAGTTAAAGAAAAAAAAATGAAGCAGAAGTATGGAATTCTACACTCCATAGCCCAAATACTTATTTGGAATTCAAGAAAAGATCCATAAATAAAATTCAAGAAGTAGTGAGAACCTCAAATAAAGAATTAAGCACTTCAATCCATACAGAAACTATGAATATTATCCAATCAGACCAAAGGAAGGGAAGCAGGTAAACAATCTTGCTGTCAATTGTGACAAAGGATGTTTCTTAATACTTAGAATTCCATTTTTTCAAAATAGCTTATTACTCTACTTGATACAGGAGATTATAAGCTTATAGAAGATAGGGAGCATTTTTAGGAAGGATGAAAATGTGATGAATGTAAAAACTTCAATATTGTTCAAATTTCCTTAAGCAAAATATAAGCTTATGATTGAGTAAATTGGTATGAAAGAAACCTGAAAGGCTACTTATGCGTTCTTCTACTCTTGAATTTTCACCTATCCCAGTCACAAAAACCAAATCTGTTTCGAATGGTGTCCTACCCAAAAGCTGCATAGATAGGACAGATGCTGAGGAATTTGATCAAAGGTGTGACCATAGATAAACATCATAGCCACAAATTACTAAAAGAATGCAATGTGATTCAATATAACTGTTATCTACCATGATTGATGCCTACCTGAAAAACTAAAACGTTTGAAGAATCATCATATGTGTCAGATAGCCGAAGTAGGCCAAACTTCACTGCCTGGGGACATGAAAAAGAAGAAAGAAGTCAAGCATGAATAGTTCCTCTAAGCTCTGCATTAGAAGAAAAATGGTGGCATTTAAAACAGAGACACATAAGAAAGTTTCACATACTTGATCTGACAGATTTTCTTGCACAAGATCAGATAAATTGTGGATGTGAGGTGTCCTAAAACCAGAATAATGGACTTCCAAATCAGCCTGCAAAAGGGCAAATACAGGAATCTAAAATTTAGAAAACAACAAATTCTAGATATAAATTTTTATTGGTCATTAATGGCAAAACTAAACCAAGGTGGGAAACCTTGATAAAACCATGTCAAAGAGATAGACACATTAAACATAAACCACTTTGCCTATATTAAGCATGGACAAGTTTTAGTGACTGACAGAAAACAAAAGAGTTGGGGGGGGGGGAAGACTTGATACATGATAAGAATTTATGTCTTCAGCCATACACATTTATTGCGCTAAAATTCCTTACATAACCCGAAGATCTACTTAGCCTTAAAGTTTAAACATATACTGGATAGTCATAAGAAGTGTAATATTTAAAAAGACACATGAGAAATTGTATGGGTGGTCAATTTAGACCAGTTATACATATAATGCAAGGGAATGAAGTCCATGTGATGCTGAGTTGCTCTGGTAGCATCACAGAAACTATGCCAAAATAACTTAGCTTATGGGCCATCCTTCTCCCATTATTGCTTTTATAAGAATTAAGGTCTTATGGGAAAAAAAAAAAAAAAAAAACCCAATTGTCACTTTTACCTCAACACTCCATTGTTTATTACCTTTGATTTGATATGCAGCTGCCAGCCTCCAATGTCTGTTCGTGAACCCAAGGCCACAAGAGAACTCTGTTGCATCTGTATTGTATCTTGACTTAAAGTTAGAGCATTTCCATCTTCATCAGCCAAGTAGAAAAAAAGGTTGGCATTCCTCTGGAACTCATCATTCCACCTAGTTCTGTCAAAATGACCAAGGTAACAATAAAAAATCACACAAGTATCAGCTAACACACATAAAGCAGAAATTGTCTCATGTCATTATGGGTAATAACAGGCATATTGCACATAATTGAAGGGAAAAATGTAACAACAAAAGTTCAGAGTCTTCAGACACTTACTTCTGAATTTGCACTTCAAGTCTAACTGCCCAATCTCCTCCATAACCACTGTCAACCCCTTTAGATTTCAAGAAACTTGTTTCCAGGGTCATTTCTTGGTCAACCAGAAGCTGTTGTCCATAATCACGTCCATTATGCCGTGTCCAACCATATTTGCTTAGCTCATCCGAATCTTGGCAGACATGTCGCATAAAATACCTCTCATCCTTCATGCCAATCCACATCAAACCAGCAATTAAAGACCGGGGAGTCCTGCCAATTAAAATAGCTAATTAATGCCACATTTTTTTTTTTGTATTTTGTAAGGAAAACTAAAGTGAAGAATAAAAAGAAAATAACAATAATAATAATAGTAATAATAATAATAAAAGAATGAATCAACATGGTAGCAGCAAAACAGACCAGATGTCTGCTCCTCTCTATTGACTTATAGATAAAAATGTTTGAAGGTAATAAGGACTAATTCCTCTTCTAAATGATCTTACCTTCTAAATAATCTAATTTCCAGAACAAAAGGAAGAAAGAGCGGTTCAACTACCCATACTCAGGCCAAAAAAAAAAAAAAAGCCAGAAAATTATCATTGTAAAACACCATAATTCAGGAAAAGATTCCATTCACATTATAAGCAGAAGTTTATACAAACATGAGGATGATATGTTCTTCCTATTTCTGTCCTCCATAATGGAAGAACAGAAAAAGTAATACCTTGTGCGGACACCAAAATAAACCTGGGGACGATAAGTTCCCCAGTACAAGCTCTCTTTATGCTCGCCCTGAAACTGCCACATCCAACAACAGCCCATTTTCAGTGCTAGTAAATCAAGCATACCAAAATTCACTCATATGAAAATGATACGCATTTGCTATACCTGAGGCAGGTCCATGATTTTGGGAGCAGGAAACGGAGTGACAACCCTAGCCCTCTGAGCTTCTTCAACTGGATGCATCAGATGCTGGATAGTGAAGAAGATGATCACGAACGCTAAAAAGGTGAAACCTAACACGACTTTGAGATTGACGTTCAGAATCCGAAGTGCACTGTCGTCAACTCTACTCCTCCCCCGACGAAGCTTCAAGTTTGGTTTAGTATTTCCAACATCGTCGTCTTCTTTAGAATCTACAGACTTGATTCGGCTCCGAGCACTTCTTCTGCCACCTCCGGTCATTTTCCGGTAACGAGCTGATCACTGCACAAATTCATTCGAGGTTTTCCATTGCATTGAATCGGAGAACATTCAAAGTCTATGGCTTAGGCGTTTTGCTCAAGGGAAATGAGTCAACCGGAATTCTGAGCGTGCAAGCAGAGCACTGAACTAGCAGAGGCTCGTCTTCGGACATAAATCAGCCCAAACTGGAACGGGCCAAGGTCTATATTCAAATTTTTTTATGGATTACAAGCTTACAGCAACAAATAGGATCCATCAAGCTCTTCTAGAGCCTGTTTAGGAGTTAAAAAATTGAATTCCTATATTAAAAATTTTAAATTTAAATTTTGAGATATGTGGAAAGAGATTGTGAGAGAGATAAATATTTTTTATTATATAATTTATCATTTAATATACAAACAAAAAAATCATCAAGGATGTTTGGGTTTTTTCATAATTTGTAATGCACTTTTTTTTGGTGCAATTTCAATTGAAAAACACTAATCTCTAATAATAAATACAATATATATATATATTTTTTAATTCTAACACTTGAAAATATCGGTTTGAAATTTAAAAAAACAAAAATACCTTTCAAAGAGTGCATATAAATTCATTAATAACCTTTTTTTCCCCTAACTATTCAGAAACCACTTCTTCCCATTTACCAATAAAAATAACAATTTTTCCCTTAAATCCAACTAATATTTTGAAGTGCATTCTTGTAATAATAATGATCAAATTGATTTCACCAAAATACAAACTAAGAGAATCTTAAGTTGCTTTTCTTTTATTATTATTTTATAATTAGGGTATTATCCCACCAATTTGTGCATCACAAGACTAATTTTATTTTAAATCTATTTTTCTCTACTTTTTTTTTTTTTGACAAAATTCCGGTTTAGTTAGAGGTAAACTTTATTAAAAAATTTTTTAATAGAATATCCCTAATCTAATTAAGGGATGGTATTATATGGTATGTAATTTGGTTTGGTATTATACAGAGGTTATGGTTGAAAAGAAACAAGGTAAGGTTTAGAAACCCTGTTGTCAATGAAAAGAAATTGTTAGAATTGGTAAAATTGCGATCTTTCCACTGGCTCACTTTTAGAATGGATAATTGCAGCTTCACATTGAATGATTGGATTAGTAAAACCCGAGGAATGTTAAAGGCGAATTAGAAAATGGAATGAATTTCATAGGGGGGTCACATACTTTCTGCATGATGAGATGATCAGCAGGTCAAGAAGAAAAAGAACATGCCTTTCATCTCGGGGTTTTTAAGAAATTGCTTTTGAGCAAGTTTGCTAATTAAATCTGCCAAACATGGCTTACATCTCGAGACAAGCCCTTGAAATTCAAAGGCATACTTGTGCTGATCATTTGGCGAACATGGGGTTGGACTTCCCTCATGATATAACAATCCACAAAGGAGAGTACATTTAAGGAGGTAGACCATAATATTAATGTCTCCATGGTACCGATATTGACTTGTGGTTCAAAAACTTTCGCTCTACCCTGCAAGGCTATGAAGGAAATCACGTACCAAAGTCCAGATGGGGGTTCAATTAAGAAACTAATGCAATTTTCATATTTCCCATTTTTAGTAACTATTTTTGGTTTTAAATTTTATTTATTTTATTTTTGACCACTAAAATCAAGTAAAAATTCAATACTAAAATTTTGTGATGTTATAGGAGCGCCTTCAAAATCGATTCATCCATACGTGAGGAAGCTACAACACAAATGCAACATTTCAACAGAAATTTGGATTGGATCAAAATCCCCAAGACAATAATAACAAAGAATTGTACTAAACATAGTTTGAAAACCAAAAAAAGCTCTCAAATTTATCTAAATAACACCTCTTTCTATTCTGAATTAAAAGAAAAACTGCTTCCATAAGATAGCACCATTAGCCTCCATACTTGGAATTCTGCTGACTACAAGCTAATGGACCACTGCACCGACCTTGGGAGTTTTCTTGGAGTTGCTAGCTGTCAACTGGGTTTCGGGCTGCAAAAATCAGTTAAACAAATAAATGAATCAGATTAAAAAATGATATTTTAGCATTCCACTTGATTGGCAATGGTTTTTCTTTAATAATTGAATTATACCTCTTTCTTGACAGGCTCTTCCTTCTCAGACAGAATCAACTCAATGTGACATGGGGAAGACATGTAAGCTAACAAAATTTGACCAGGCTTCAATTAGTGAACGAAAACATGAAATTCATAAGACAGACACAAGATTTGAGGATTTTAATACTTACGGTTAATTCTTCCATGGGCACGGTAGGTACGACGCCTCTGCTTCTGAGCCTGGTTTACCTGGATGTGTGAAATGTAGAGTGCATCGACGTCCAAGCCTTTCACCTGAAAAAATTGGCAACAGTGTAATTAGGAAGGAAAATGGAGAAACTGAATAGAATAATATCCATAAACCATGAGAGACATACCTCTGCATTGCTTTCAGCATTCTTTAGCAAATCAAGTATAAACTTGGCAGATTTAACTGGCCAGCGACCTTGGCCATTGGAATGCCTGTTCTTTGCCTGAGCAGTACGCCCTACCCCACCGCAGAAACGACGGAAGGGTATTGCCTGCTTGTGGGCCATGACATCCTCAAGATACCTCTTAGCCTTGGCCAAGGGCAACTTTCTGATGGCATGGGCTGTCTCCCTTGTGTTCTAAAATAAAATAAACAAATGCAAAACATCAGATTAGCACTAGCAAGATGGATAGTAGGTGTAAGAAATAGGTATAACACACAATGTATCAACGAGAGATAAAGGAATTCACATTCTGTGGATGTATCGCTCATAACAACCAACAACTAACAAGCAAAGATATATAAATCAGCTAAAACTATCAAGGTTTATATACTCAACTGACACTAAATGGATAAAAACATGTGGCATCATTTATTGAACCTTTAGCCATTGATGATAAACAGAGGTTCACCCAGTAACAATGCAATTGATGTCCCTGATGTTTACGAGAGACCCATTCATGAAGGGAAATGGAACCCTGCTTTTTTCATCAGGTTCTATAGATTAGACACAGCAACTGACTTCAGCATAAATGCAGAAAGCACGGGACATATTGCATTCAACAATTCACCAAACTGACAATCAGAAGAACTGAAGAGAGATAAGGTACCACTCGCTCAGAACAACAATCATATGTATAGGGCAACACCTTAGTAAGAAAAAAGCTAAAGAATTCAAAAAAATTCCCATACTCAACTAAAACTAAGTGGATAAAAAGTAATGTGGCATCATTTATTGAACCTTCAGCCACAGATAATAAACAGAGGTTCACCCAGTAACAATGCAACTAATGTCCCTGACATTTACAAGAGACCTATTCATCAAGGGAAACAGGAATCTGCTTTTTTCATCGGGTTCAAAATTACACACAGCAACTAACATTACACTTTAAAATGGAAATTCATTAAGCACAGAATTCATGCATTCAACACACTGATCTCACAAAACCATTTCTCAGACAGAATAGAACTACTAAATGCATGAAATCAGCATTTATTTCACTACAAAAATTCATACACAGAATATCAATAAAACCCAGAAGAGCATATCGATTTAACAAGCAAACTCAACTCACTAAATTATCATACCTTAAAGTGAACTCTGAGATCAGAGCCCCTTGCCTTGCAGGCTGCAGAATAAACGAAACATCAAAAGTTAGTGGAATTTCAATTCCAATGCTTAGAAAGAAGCGTAAAGGGCAACAAATCATTTGTACAGAAAAAATGGAAAAACTGGATGCTGTAAAAGGGACTTACACTTGGTGGGATTGTCGGGCTCCCTGGAGTACTTCACCTGGAAAGATTCAAACGGAATCGAGTTCAGCAACATAAAACCTAGAAGGACGAGCAGAAATTAGAGATGAAGAAGACGGTGAAGAAGGTGTTTACCATGGCGGCTGATCTTGACGCTTCTTTCCTCCCCGAGCGAGGTTTAAATGCTTGTAAAGAAAAAGAACAGCATGCCGCTAGGGTTCCCTTTTATATATGACGGGAAATGAAAACCCTAATGATATACAGACAGGGACCCGGTTTTTAACTGGGCTGGGCTGGGCTGGGTTGGATTGAGCATCAAAAACGTCATCGGCCGATTTTGGGCTGTTCTTCGCCCAGTATTAGAATTCCATATTGGAGGGTGTTTGGTTGGGGTAATTTTTTTTTTTTTTTAAGTTTTCTTAAATTTTCTATAAATTTATTTATATATTTTAAT